CACTGGCTGCCCGTTCATTTGAGGATTCATTTTTAAACTCTTTTATTTACTTTTAAAGCCCTCAATGGCCTGGCCCCACCCTACCTCTCTGAGCTGTTACACAGCTACACGCCCACTCGCACTCTCAGGTCAGCTGACCAGTTGCTCCTGAGGGTGCCAAAAACAAGAGCCTCATCCCAATACCCCTCCTCGACTCCTCTCTTCCCCTCCTCCACTCCTCTCTTCCCCTCCTCCGGGACTTGACCCGGAAATCGATCAACACACACCATTTTGAAGGACGTCCCAATAGCTGAAATGCACACGGAGGAGTCGAGGAGGGGTGAGGGAGGAGGGGTGCGGGAGGAGACGAAAGGGAGGATACACGCGAGCAGACTACGCGGAAGTGTTTTCACTACTCGCGTATAAAAGCCCCGCCCCCACCTTCACAGCTGGTCCATTTCATCAGAGGAAAACCGACAACTGGAAGATGAGTGGAAAAGCGTCACATACATGTATAAGTGCTCACAGCTCCGTGGGAATTATTATGGGCAATTCATTTTACACCAAAACGGAACACAAAAGCAGGACCAACCATCATCAATTCCTTGACTAACAAGAGAAAGATTCATTCATTTAAATAAATATTTAACAACAAATGGGCCGGTTCTAAGGGGTTATTCAGTTAAGCTCGATGAGAGGGGATACAGCTGTGCACATGTTATCATTAACAGACGTCGTTTAAGAGTGACGTTTGAGTGAACGAGGGCATCCCAATTCATACCTGAGGACTCCTCTGTCCTCGCGTCACCTCCTCGTGTCTCGGGAGGGCATACTACTTTCCATAAGCTATGCTTCAGCCCTCCCGCTTCTACTAATTTTGTTCATCTTTGTGTGTATGAATTATACTTTTTTTGGATGAATAAAAAAGAAAAAATAACTTTCAGCTTGGGGGGCTCCTAGTGGCCGCGGGGCCCCTATGCATCTGCATAGTCCGCCTATAGGAAGAAACGGACCACACCACAATAGAGGTTTCTCAATACTCAAATTTCCCCTCCTCGACTCCTCGACTCCTCGGTCCTCCGGTAGTAACCCGGAAATGAATTTCAGCGCGCCATGTTGAAGGACATCTCATTTCTCTAAATGCACTTCGAGGACCGAGCATCGAGGAGGCTCTCTGGAGGAGCTCTAACCGAGGAGACACTGATGCATCCTCCACGGCTCCTCCACGCAGGCCCACCCAGTTTACTCATTGGCCCACCCTGAGAAAGCTTCGGTGTCATTTAAATGTTTGTATTATTTTATTATTATTATAAAAAAATGTATTCACCCATTGAGAATATCCAATAATTCAAAGTGAAATTCAAGTGAACAAATATCGAGTTTAATTAATGTTGTATGTGCTTTATCCATGGCTTTATCCTCTGAACCAAACTCATTTACGGTAAAAACTGATTGTTGGTTCCGGCGCGCGCCATAATAACGTGAGAGAGGCAGAGAGCTGCCTGCAAAATAAATGATGGCTCAAAGTTCACTAATGAACTTTGTTTTTGTTTTTAAACGGAAACTCTGCCGCACGGTTCCCTCGTCCCTTGGAAGAGGCGGAGAGGTGTGTGTTTTTCATCTGCTGGTGGACTATCGAAGAGATATACACAGGGTTGGGTTGTAACGGAATACATGTAACGGCGTTACGTAATCAGAATACAAAAATCAAGTGTATTCAGCTGGCGTTACATTTGAAAAACGAGTAATCTCATTACAGTTACTTTTGTAAACCTGAAGTGAATACATTTTGGAATACTTATTGGAATTATTGGTGGAAAAGTTTTCCTCACAAAATGTAATATTCATTGCCGGCAGAACTGTGTGCACACTGCACAGCGCTGCATGTCTGTGAGCGAGAGAGATGCAGCGTGTCTGTGAGGCACGCAGATGAGAGAGAGAGATATCTTTGAAAATATATCAAAAGTTAGAAACGGAGATGGTTAGATAAAATGTGCAAGATAACGTTTATGTAGCATTTCTTTATTGTCGAAATGATGACATTTCATAACAGGATAAAATCAAAGTGAATGGCCTGCTGCTGCTGAATGCACGGGGCAAGTGACTGGAAAAAGTTAAAAAAGTTATTGCATCGTTTCAGATAATAATAATAATAATAATACATAATAATGATAATTCATTCTATTTAGGGGTGCCTTTCAAAGCACAACATATTCCAAGGAAAGCTTTTAAGACAGTACAAAGAATGCAGTCCGGGTGATGTTTTTTATGTGTGGTGCAGATGAGAGAGTTGTCCAGAATGACACCAAGATGTTGTGTTTGTGCTCTTGATAAGCCATTAGAACAGTAAAATATGTGTCTCCTGTTCACCAAAACATACCCATCTGTTATGGAAAAAGAAAGTATTCCAAAAGTATTCTAAAAGTAAATCTGCCACCAGCGGGGATTGTTGTTAGCTTCTGATGCGCAGAAGACAAATCTGGCCCACCCTATTTTTTACAGGCCCACCCTAAAGTACATATCTGCCTACGCTACTGCCTCCACGGATGCATTTCCGGGAACGGTGGAGGCGTGACGCACGGCCGGACTTATCTCAGCCAATGACAGCTCTGCATGCATCCCTTGGATATTATATTAGTAACTGCTTTCATCGCAACGCGATGTTTACAGTGAGAACAGCTGTGAGGTCCGTGCAGAAAGCAGAGCAGTGTGTAAAATATATATCACTCAGTATAACAGGCCTACATTACTTTCTGTATTTGTATGCTGCAGTTTAGTAGATATCTACAAACAAAGAGTCGATATTTTTCTAAGACCATTTAGTGCTTCACATAATAAAATACACAACGGCTGTAGCCTGATTATGCTTTAGGAGCAGTAGGTGTGTGTGTTGTACAGTGCGTAGATGCGGCGGACAGACGGGTCTCAGTTGGTTTGGTGTCCTCTGCTTACTTTTAATACTTGTACAACTTTTGGCCCGTAATTTCAATTCCCCATTTCAGCGACCAGAGAGAGGGGTGGGGGGGATATATCCAGTCTCTGATTGTGTTACGTTATTATGAGAGTGCTCTCATACTTGTTTGATTCTGAAATTGTATATATTTATATAAATATATGTGTGTGTATATGTCCGCATCTGTAGCCTGTTATTGTCTCATTATACCGCACTGTGAATGAATTAAAAGTAAATATATAAGTGGTCATGAACACATCTGTCCATCAGACAGAGGGCTGCTGTGCCTCCTGTCATCATTAATGTACGTCTCTTTAAAATGACCGCTCAGAGGAGAGGAGTTCTCATTTCTGCAACCGCCTGCTGCTTCCACTCCTCTCTCCTCAGTCCTCCGCTCGCATCTCCTGTGGGCGAGGCACCAAGTCTCGAGGAGGGGAGTAGAGGATAGGAGTAGAGGAGGGGAAATTTGAGTATTGAGAAACCTCTAATGCAGGGGTGGGGAACTTCCGGCCCCCCGCGAGACCATTTGGTGTGGCCCTCGAGGTAATTTATAAACACACACAAAAAAGAAAAAAATTAAAGAAATCTAGACCGCAAAATAAATAAACAAGTGAGTGCCTGTTTTTCCTGGCCAAGGTCAGGGTCCTTGAACACAACACCAGCCTATCGTGTCATCACGTGGTATATGTCTCGTCTGACAGGGGTGTAGTTCGGGGAGCACCAGAACGCCAATCCGCTCCGGCACTTCCAAAAATTGCAGTACCCATAAGGAGCCGTACACATGCTGCAGTTTTTGCGTGGCTGTGTCTTTAGTTGAAAGCCCAGTGGCGATCTGTCATACTGATCATACAGTCAATAACTTTGTTGTTATTAGCATCTGGTTAGCTAGCTATGCTAACGAATATAAGAAGCTTTTTCTACAACCAGTGAGGTAAAGGCACATCTTTATATGATCATTAGTTATAAAAAAATAAGAGAATAAAGTAAACAGGTATAAAATACTATATGACAGTAAAAAAAAAGTTGTTATTAATAAACAAGAATACAGTTTGAAAGGGGAGTGATTTGTAAAATATCCATAAAGAAAAATAAAATCTGCTTACAGCTGTTTCATATGGGTGCTGAGAGATGTATCCATAGATCTCCTAGAGTTGCTCTCAAAGTGCACCAGATTGATGCTTTGAACTTCAACATTTAAAAAAAAAATCTTTAGTGGTTAGGTCCCTCCCCACTTGATTACAACTATAAGGCGTTGCCTGGTTACAGGGAGTGGCTCAACTTACCCCCTTCTCCCCTACTGGAGAGAGTATTTGTAAAAAAAAAAAAATCAGGATATAAAAAGGTACCCACCTTGTGCATTTGAGCTCCATACTGCAATAATCATTGAAGTGGTTTGGAACATGATATGGCACTTAATCACGGGAGCATTTAGCTGCATCTGAGCAGAGCAGACAGCTCGTCACAGAACTGCAGCAGCAGCTACAGACCCAGAATCAGCCATTCTCTAACAGGCCTGAAATAGAGGGATATGAGGGATGTCTACAATGCATGATCTGTTTGATATGTTGAGCAAAACACACCAGACATGTTTTGTATATATCCGAGACGCATAATATAGGCATCAAAATAGCAGCATGATAGGAGATCTTTAATGCATCACTAATTATAAAACATATCATATATATTATTCTGAAATGGAACAATCTGCACAATGACTACTTTTACTTTTGTATCTTTAATTATTTTGATGATAATACTTTTCAACTTTTACTCGAGTAACATTTTGAATGCAGGACTTTTACTGTAACAGAGTACCCCTGCACTCTAAGTACTTCTACCACCTCTGTTCATACTGATACAGTCTGACGTTTGGCTGAAAGTAACACCACATACATTCTTACCTTTGTGCAGCCGGAAGTGAGACTCAAACATGTTCTGACAGCTGAAAGTGATCTCAAGCACCATCTAGTGTTATAATGTTGCTCGGAATAGCCATACAAAAAACGCAGCCCTCTACATCCGGCACATATTAAATAAAGTAAAACTACAACAATGAAAACATGACAGCAACCGGTAAAAGACATTTATTTACATTGTTTTGCTCTCCACCTATCAGTCAGCAACGAAGAATCACTCAAATGTTAAAATATATACACTGTAAAAGATCCAATAGAAAGAGTCATTTTGATCTTCCCCATTTTAATATAAAAAACATAGTTCACTATAATCAGAGAAGCATTTTCTTACTCCTCCCTGGTGGTGTGCAGCCATGTGAATAATGAAAAATGCTAGCTGCTGAGGTCAGAGGACGTTTTAAAGCCAAGCAGAGGTTGGACATTTTCTAACAATCTGGATAAAATGTTTGTCCATGACTTCTACCAGTGGACACCGAGATAATAGTTGAGATGTGGGAACTCTAAAAAGGATCTCAAGAGGTGAAGACTCGAGCAGTCAGAACATCAGCCGAGGGGGGGGGAGACACACACGATACACCAAATCTGGACGTATACTCACTAGTACTACAGTAAGCTCAGAAGGTCCAGACTGAAGCAGGAATGGATCTGCAAACTGTGGAACAATTTTACAACAGTAAGTTTGTCATCACCTAAAGGCCCATTCATGCTTCTGCGTGTTTAGTCTTTTTGGCCCTCGTGACAATGTCTTCTCCCGCGGTGACGGTGTACATGACGCTCGCCATGTGCAGCTCCATGATGACCTATCCATTTTGTTAGAAAGATATTGAAACTGTGTTTCTTTAAGTACTCAAATAATCCACTGATGCAGTTTCTATTTTAAATTTTAGATCATTTTGATATTGGAGGATTTCACATATAAAACGTTTCTGGCTAAATTTCAGATTTCATAGACAATAAGAAAAGAAAAATTCATACAAAAATCTGTACAATTTTCAACGTCTCTCCATAGATGACAGTGTTACCAGTCCTTTGTCAGAACAGGTATTTTCGACAGGAGTCGGACCCACAGCGACACTCCACTCGGATCCTCTTCTTCGGGGAGCCGGGGAGCCCCGCCAGGTTGAAGCTGGAGTCCATCTTGGTGCTCTCCGTGTCCACCGGGTCAACTGCAGACAAACACAGGGCAGGATGGAGAGGGCTCAGAAGAGAAACCAGCAACTTTCTATACTATGCCCTTCACCAAATGTTTCTCCTGCATTCTGGTATGTTACCATTTAAACCATTGTTCTTTGTCCAGTTTGATCTTTGAAACCTAAGGAAAACTGAACAAAACTCTAGCCTGGCCTATGGCCTTTTCCTGCGTAAGGTGCTTTAGCCGCAGTTGGATTTTTAAGTTTTTATTTGATTATGTTTGCTTTTTGTTTAGGGACATAAATAGCATATATGCTGATAGGCTTGTTCCTCATCACGGAATGAACATAACCACTAAATGTTTGATGATTGGATAAATCGTTGTTGAGTTGTGAGCATGTAATTCTAAGCCACATCTTTGGCAGATGTTTTGATTAATGGCAGCTATCTCGTTTTAAGGTCTTGCTTATGTCTACCAAAAATGTGTATCCCCCTCCTTGCTGTACACCATATTTGGTGTTGACAAATCAAAATATCCATTTCCCATTGTACAATTTAGTAAAACATCTAGTTCGGCAGACTTTAGTGCTTCTTGAGGCTTTTTGTAGATCCCGTTTAGTTGGATAAGTTTTGAGTCAGTTACACTCACAGGCCTTTTGAAAAACACATTTTTGGTGGTTGATTGCAATTGAGATTCTTTAAAAATAAAACACTTTCTACATGTAACTGCTCACAACAAGGTCAGTGTATCTTCTTGAGTAATCGGGTGATGACTTCTGCAAAGACACATTGCTGTTGAGATTTTCTGATGCATTTTTTTTCCTTTCCTTCAGAGACGGTAGCTCACAATAAACTGTTCTGATAACTAGCCCTGCAGGCAGAGAAATAACTGTTATTTTGGTTTTGTGGCGAGCTGGCACCTAAAGATGATTTTGGAGACAGTGTTAATTAAAACTAAATCAGCGGCCCTTACTCTGCATCCTGTAGTCAAAGGTGAGCTCCTCTCCGCTCCGGATAGCTCGTGTTGAGAATAAAGCGATTCTTGGGAGCCTCTCATCAATGTTGTTGATGAACACATTAAATACCTGCAGGTTGGGGTTACACTGCAAAAAGAACACAACTTGTGTCAGGAGATTTTCTGAATCTGCTTAACTATAGCAGACATCAAAATAAACTTTACATTTCCAAATAATACAAATATATTTCATGTATATAGCGCTTATCTAGGTACTCAAAGTAGCTTAATATATACACAGCATATTGTATGTGCTGAGTAAGGGAGGAGCTATGCAAAGACTGCAAGTGACATCAACAAGTCACTGCACATGTATCGGATTTATTTTACAGGGTTACAGAGACTTATGGATACAAATGTAATGCATTTAAAATACTCTGCAGTATGACTTACCAAAGTTAACTTGACTGTATAGTGTAATTGATTAGATGGTTACTGAATGTACCATGTACACAAGTGCCTTCAGTACCTTTTACAGCACTAAACAAAGACAGTAATGTTATCCTCTTTTATCACACTCACGCTGTGGTTGACAAAGTGGGAGATGTTGCCTTGGTGAGCTGCGTCCACGGTGTACACATCCTCCACATAGTCCAGGTCAAACAGGTACGTGGAGCCCTGGCAGTCGTACACAAGACCCCTCCTCTCGGCTTCCTCATTCGTGATGATCTGCAGGAAACAGGACAACACAGGAAATCACTGCACCAAACATTGTTTTTTGGATGCAACACAACAATAACAATTGATTAAAAGAAACTCAAATACCCTTTTCAGATATATATCAATTTCAGCATGAGCAAGCTCAGCCATAAAACATGATATGTATTCTAAAACACTGATCTGAGCCCCATTCATAGAAGAGAAGGACAGTTACATCAGCACAAACAGAGGGATTACAAACCTCAGTGTTTCCCCTATATACAAATAGCGGCGGCGCAGCGTAGTATTTGTGTTAGTGTATGTTCAATAAAGGTGTATTTTTGCTAAACCTTGAGACATTGCCACTGTAGCAGGGCCGATTTTTGGCATAGGGGCGCCAGATCTGGGAGGTGCTGCGCTGGTAGCTCTGGGAGGGGAAAAAACATTTTTGCCCGTTGGGGCTCATCCTAATTTTCGGCCTTGATGTAACAATATTCACAATTAAGTAAATGTAACACCCTTTTCACCCTGGTTACACGTTTCATTTGCCCTGTACGATGGGCGCTGTAAGTGATGAAAGTGGGGGATGTTGGCTTATCAGGCGCCTGCAGCTCACAGCCAAAGTGCGAGCGAGGGAGAGAGAGAGAGGGTGCACCGGTACCGGCGCTGTTGTTATTAGAATCTGGTGCTAGCTGCGCTAACGGATATAAGAAGTAGATCCACAACCAGGGTGGAGGAGAGCTCTCCTGTCAGACTGAAAGGCTTTAGATAGTTAATTTTAGTCTAAGTTATCTCAGTGGGTCTCAAACAAATATGTGTTTACAAATTATGTAAACACATATTTCCAAGGCACTCCTATATTATAATTATTAGGATAAATAAAAACAGGTTTGAAATCATTCCAATGTATACTATAGGACAGTAAACCAAAAATATTGTTTAAAGTTGGAGAGATACAAAAATATGCATAAATAAATGGTAAAATAAGATATAAATGAACAACTAAAATAAATTACATTTATTTGTTATTGGCTATGGTAGGTTATTGGTTATGTTCACATACTTATTTGATTATTAAAATGCAAATCGATCTTTTTCAGATGGGTGTTTAGAGTTGTACCCCCTAGATCTCTAGGTCTCTAGTAATTGTGTGCTCAATGTGCACCAGATCGAAGTATACCCCCGGAGCCCCTTAGAGGAGGTGATGTCCACCCCCCAATTAAAACATGTACATACAATACTGAATACATTTGAAGCCATTTTGACGTCTATTACCTATGTCAATAAGTTTCTGTTTTTGTAGTGTATTTGTCTTTAGTAGAGATTTTTCATTTATTCTTTACATATAAAATCTCGCCTAGGGCAGCAAATTGTCTAGAACCAGCCCTGGTGCTAGGCCTCAAGAGCCTTTCTTGTGCTGGCAGACTCATAGAAACAAATTGACGGGGCGCACTTTGCACGCACTAAAAAATTCCACGCGCTCCGCGCTCACATTATTCTGGGCCCATGTGCCTTAGCACCGCTGCTATGACTCCATCCTAGGGGAAACACTGAACCTATAAACAAGAGCACTGCAGTAAATCCTGTCTTAGCTTTTCTTAGAGGTGTCATAAGAGTGCCTGTCTAGAATTAACAAAGACAACATTTCAGCCTGATTTTTTAAATAGTTTTGGCTCCAGGAGAACACAGGCTTTCAATCATGAAGAATTAACATGCAGAAAATAATTGTATATTTTTTTATGTTGCCTGAACGTAATATGTCAAATCCGTCTTTAGTCATTTGGCCGGGCTAATACACTACATTAGTTCAAATGGTTTTCTCCTAAAGCAGAGTGGCAGAGGATGGGACTGTGTTACTATTAGGGATGGGAACGATTAATCGAATATTAAAAAAAAAAATTGATTATCAAATGGAATAATTCAATGTATACGACAGTGCCATAGCTAAGTATGTTAGGTCTAAAGGTGTGTTTTGCTCCGCTCACCGGTCCCTCACAGCGGGCAGAGCTGCAGGTGCTGATCTTTCTCTCTCGCGTCCGGTTATACTTCACTCGCGTTTATGTCCAAATCCATCAGATCTAGCTAGTTCTAGCCAATGATATGGCTGCTGCCCCTCCTAGATCACGCAGACTCAAACCTCATCTTAGGCCCAAATCCCAGCTGAGAGGTTCTTCTCTACAGCTGGCCCGATTGTGAATCGCCTCCGCACCCGCCTCTCCCCTGAGTAGACATGCTCATATTCTTAAACAAGAATGAGTATTGAATAGCTGCATTCTGTGCATAGGCCCTGTTATAAGTTGCTGATCTCTGTTGTAATAGGGTTACGTTACCCTAACCCGTTATGTTGTTCGTGTTTGATCCCTCTTTCATTTAAAAACCAAGTTATGTTTTAAGCATGAAAGCTGTAGGCCTATAGCTGTCAACTGTTCAAACTGTGATCACCAGTGCAATACATTTGACAAATTCGACTTGTTTTCTATACTTATTCGAACATGTAAATTTATTTTTTTATTTTTTTATATATATATTAGGGATGCACGATATTGGTTTTTTGAAACCGATACCGATAACTTCCTGCTTCTCAAGACCGATAACAAAAAAAAATTACGCCACTAATTATTTTAACGCGATTAACGCATGTGTATTTTTTTTCCTTGGCCACCCCGTAGTTTCAGAGCGCATCGAGTTTAAAATACCATCTACAAGCTGATGCTGACAGCCCCGCTCCTGCCGCCCGCTTGTGGCAGACCACACTTCCACGCTCACCGGCAGGCACCGACTGGCTGTTGGGAGGACCGGGAGGGTGTGTATGTGTGGCCCGAGCGAGCGAGAGAGAGACCTTACGTGCATTGTTGTTGTTAGCATCTGGTGCTAGCTAGCTGCGCTAACGGATATAAGGAGCTGTTTAAATGAAAACAGAGGAGCGACATTTCGCCACAACTGCGCCGAGCACTTGACTTTATGCAGGAAGCCAGACAGTGGGACATTGTACGAAAAGTCAGCACACTCAGCTCGGATAGTGCGCAACATGATTGCAGCGTCCAGGCAGCTCCGGTTCGAGCATATGCCTTGAGTTGCACATAGCTCCAACGCCCATACCACCGACGACATGTTTGTTTACTGTCCTGGCTTCACGGCCGCACACCATTTGCGTCACAGCCAGGCATGAGTTAGGGAGCGCTAGATTTGTGAAGAACTCCCCTCTTCCTAAACCACTAATACCACAGTACTGGCAAAACGGGAGGAGCCGAGTGAAAAACAAGCGCCCCTCATCCCAATCCACCCACACCGCAGTATTTTTTTCTTTTTTTTACCCAAAAAATATATTGTATATTATCGGGGCTATTAATACTGGTATCGGGTTTATCGGAATGACGTCATAATTCCTAATATCGGACCGATAATTATCGTGCATCCCTAATATATATAGGCATGGGAATTTGAAAGCAAATGTAGCAAGGTATAGCAAGGTATAGCATGTATATATAAGTTTAATTTGGCATAGTTTGACCTCTACACCGCACTCACTAACCTGGTCGAAATATTTCCACACATTACTCCTTTTTGACGCCATGTCTGTTGTGTAGGACTCTTCTTAGAGTGTAAATAATTACCGGACTATGACTGGTAAAATATGTTGAATACCGGCAAAACTAAATCTCTCCTGTCAAAATGTCTATGTACTTTGCCGCCACACACGGTTGCCAAGCAGCGCTTATTGTTGTTTAGGCTGGCCACTCATGTGTCGCAAGTGTTGACAGGGGGCGGGGGAGCACGCTCATGAACTGTTGGCGCCGGAACCTCGCAACGGCTGCGGAGCGCATTTGCGCCACATTTGGGCATATGATGAGGTTTGAGTCTGCGTGATCTGCGTGTAGGGAGGGGCAGCAGCCATATCATTGGCTAGAACTAGCTAGATCTGATGGATTTGGACATAAACACGAGTGAAGTATAACCGGACGCGAGAGAGAGAGATCAGCACCTGCAGCACTGCCCGCTGTGAGGGACCGGTGAGCGGAGCAAAACACACCTTTAGACGTCACCTAACACATTTAGCTATGGCACTGTTGTATATATATATATACATTGAATTATTCAATTTGATAATATGTAATCAACTTAGGCATCCCTCCCATCCCCAACATTTTTTTATTCATAACTTATATTCGAATACATGAATAATTATTCGAATACCTGAATAATTTCGAATATTCGATTAATCGTTCCCATCCCTAATATATATAAATATATTAGGGATGTCAAACGATTACAATTTTTAATCAGATTAATCACAGCTTAAAAATGAATTAATCATGATTAATCACTAGTGGTGCACGATAATTATCGGGCCGATAATTATCGGTCCGATATTAGGAATTATGACGTCATCCCGATAAACCCGATAAAAGTATTAATAGCCAATAATATACAATAATAATAATAATATACAATATATTTTTTGGGTAAAAAAAAAGAAAAAATACTGCGGTGTGGGTGGATTGGGATGAGGGGCGCTTGTTTTTCACTCGGCTCCTCCCGTTTTGCCAGTACTGTGGTTTAGGAAGAGGGGAGTTTTCACAAATCCAGCACTCCCTAACTCATGCCTGGCTGTGACGTAAATGGTGTGCGGCCGTGAAGCCAGGACAGTAAACAAACATGTCGTTGGTAGTATGGGACTATTTCAAAGTTTCAGAGTTAGATAGTTCGCTTGCTATTTGTATTAACAAATGCAATGCAGAAGTTCCACGAGGAGGGAATAAGGCAACGAGCTATAATACTTCCAACCTGATTAGTCACCTGAAACATCGCCATCGCTACGATGGTGTGTTAAAAGCGTACGAAGACGCCTGCGCTGCTAAACTAGCGGCGAATCCAAAGCCAGCTGCAAAGGTACCACCGGTATCGGTCTTGAGAAGCAGGAAGTTATCGGTATCGGTTTCAAAAAACCAATATCGTGCATCCCTATTAATCACCATTCGAACTATGTCCAAAATATGCCATTTCTATATGTATATTGTTGTGGGAATGGAAAGATAAATGAAAGAAGGCGGATATATCCATTTAACATACATGTATTAGGGGTGTAACGGTTCACAAACATTTCGGTTCGGTACGTACCTCGGTTTTTTGGTCACGGTTCGGTTCGGTACGTTTTCGGTACAGCAGAATTTGTTTTCACAAAACAAAACATATATATATATATATATTTATTATTATTAAACTGTGAATAATGTATTCACTCAAATAAATACAAAATATAATAAAATAAACATTAAGGTGCAGCATTTCGATGAACTGAAATAATCTGTATTTGAACTTTACTGTACTAGTACTCACAAAACATAAACTATTAGTTTTGGGTTTTTAATTATTATTAAACTGTGAATATTCACTCAAATAAATACAAAATATAATTAAATGAACATTAAGATGCAGCATTTCGATGAACTGAAATAATCTGTATTTGAACTGTACTGTACTAGCACCTAAGCAGCCAGCTTGACATTATGACTTGCTTGTCATTGTATTTTCATGTTGTTTAAAGAAAAATGAACTTGTCCACATTGCTGCTGAAAGGGCAGATCTGCTGGCACTAACAATGTCTCCTGCTGTGGAGAACACCCTCTCGCTAGGGACAGAGGTAGCAGATACAGCCAGGTAGCGCTTTGCTAACATGGCAACATAAGGATATTTGGCGTTTGTAATAGCTTTGGCTCGGTCTGAACTCTTTGCGAGTGGTGGAGGCTTACATGCTAGCGGGAGTTGGGTTTGCACTTCAGTCTTTTTTCTTTTGGTACCGGTGATATTCACGTTCGAGTGATGCCTTTTCAAGAGTGTGCAAGTTTGATGTATTGCCAGCCGCGTAACCAATTTTAGTTGAACAATGCCGACAAACAGCTTTGGTTCGGTCCACCTGTCTTTGTCCGTCATCCTTGTTCGTAACTGCAAAACCAAAATGTTCCCAAACCGTCGACTTCAATGATGCTGGAGGATTTTCGAGCTCAACTTTATCTGCGTTCGTCATTAATTTTCGACAGTTCCTCAAATTACTGACTACATTTGAACGCATCCCTCTGACCCGCTCTCATAGTATGCCTCTCATCCAATGAAATGACCTGCTCGCTCTATGACGCGTTGAACCCAATGTGAGCAAATTACTCTGAATGCTGCGACGCAGCACCTGAAATTACTTCCAAAAAGTTGTTCACGTTTTCAATTTTTTACGTTTAACGTTATATTCGTTCGGTACACTTCGGTACACACCTGTACCGAACCGAAGGGCCCGTACCGAATAATTTCGGTACGGGTATGTGTACCGTTACACCCCTAACATGTATGTATGTATGTTTATTATAACATTGTTCTGTGTGTCAAAATGAAAGACAGCACCTATCAATCATCAAACCGTGGGGTCTTATTTCATTACGTGTTGATTTCTATCAACGTTCTGATCAGCTGTTTTAGCGTAGTTCTCCAGTGAAGGGGGGAAGTCTCCCTCCGCAGCCGGTTGGCGTAGTTTTGGCACAATTCCGTTGTACAGACCGACGTTAACATCAGCCCTGTCTGTGCACACGGAGACCGACTCTGTCGTCCGGTGATCTAACCGCCTTCTGGAAAAGCTTCACAAGTAGTCGGTACGCAAATGCGCTTTGTGACCTTTATACACGCACGCGTACCTGCGTACCAGTTATGTGCTACCTGTACTACAGCAAAAGTATTCTCCGTCGGGACTTCCTGCAACAACACCACGCCGTTATCTTGATTCTGATTGGCCAGAAGACATTATCAAAGATGTTCTATTGAGAAGACGATCACTACGTGACAAAAGTTTTTCAAAACCGTTTCTAGTCTTCGGTATTTCCAGACAAGTGGCTACTGAAATCAATCTTACTAACTGCTGTCTGTGCAATTCTCGGCGCGAGTTGGCGGACTTTATTTTGCTTACTTTAACATCATTTTTCATGGTGGGGCTATAGCCTACCCCAGTATACCCTGGTGCTGCCACTGGTGGGATGTATGGGGCGGGCCATTCTGCACATGCGTTGACGTCGACTTCAAAATATCGTCGACGACATATTTCCGCGTCGACGCGTCGCCACCATAGACTGTATATATGGTCGCCACACACACGTGGGTCACCCAAAGCAACAAGCAGTTCGCAATCGCACTTCTAACACAATGGAGACTGAAACGGCTACCAACTCCTCCTCACAGGATTGCGCACGAAGCCCTCAAACGAAAACATCTCGCCCTAGGTCTTCAAAAGCATGGGAATATTTTAAAGTTAGTCCAAAACGCAAAGATATTTATATATTTATATCTCACTGAGACTGCTGCTTGACCGGAAGCAGCAGCTAGCTGTGGTGGCAACCATTAGCAGCTAGCATTTGCTCTCCGATTTTTACATTAAAATGGAATTATGGATTATAAATTCAATCATGTTTTTATACATAGACGTTAAAAACCTATGGATTAACCGATTCAGCCGCGTTTTTTCTCATTTTAATGCCATTGAACACGTCTTTTGATCAGATTGACAGCTACGGCGGTGAGACGATCTCCCTAGAAGCTCTGTGAAGGTACGTGTTGTGATGACTGTATTTGCTTCCCCTGTCGCGAGTCCGGATCACTCAGTGATGATACTATGTACCTACATAATCTGTGGAGTCTCAGCTTTAATCGGATATCTTGTATGTGCAGCTATGATAAGTAATAAGGGTACTTTTATCTTGAGATCTGTGCCAATGTCCGTTAGCATTTTTCGCTCAGGGGTAATTTAGATGCTTCTTATGAGACTTGTGTTTTGTTTTGGTAAACATGGTTTGTATCGTCAGTTAGCTGAGATTATTTCCGTTAACCTGGTATAACACATTAATAGGTTCTTAAATATTAAGATCCCCTGAGACACAGTATCGTGAAAAAAAAAAATGTTACATTACGTTTTTTTTACATTACGTGAATTGAACAACAGAAAAATAAATCGTTAGATTAGTCGACTAATCGATCAAATAATCGCCCGATTAATCGTTTTCAAAATAATCGTTTCCCCCCAGCACTATTAAATATATTAACGCAATTAATTCAAAAAATTAATTACCGCCGTTAACGCGATAATTTTGACAGCATTAATATATATATATATATATATATATATATGTATATATAGGATATTTACATTTCGGTTAACCATTTTTTTTGGGGGGTCGAATATACATTTGCTTTCAAATTCCCATCCCTAGTTACTATATTAAAAACTTGTTCCCCTTAACAACTCTTAAGGACCTAAGCTGAATCCTTCAAACTGGAGCTATGAGTGTGCAGATCGGTTTTTATTTACAAGAGATATTTGAAACACCTTTCAATATAATACCTATACCGGGGTTTCTTGAGCTAACAAATCTGTAGTTGACTAATTGATTTGTTGACTTAAATCAACAGACGTGTAAAACTACAGTGACAGAGACTACTAATGCCAGGTTTTGGAAAAACTGTTTCCACCTCGGCAGTTATTTACATTACAGTAAATCTGAAAAGGGTCCTGATGCACACCTGCAGACTGTCCCCTTCACTACACCCAGAACACACATGTTTACCTAACCCTAACCACAGATACTGTGTGACAGCAGATGCTAGGTGAATCCAGCGGGCTGCAAGGAACCGTGATTTAGGCATGGAAGAATTAAGTACCAGACCTTTCAACTGTAGGATTTGTTGCCAGTTTTAAAAAAGAAAGAAATAGTATATATATATATTTTTTTTCCCGGTGTTCTTCTATTTGCCTACTACTAAAATACAAATTATATTAAAATTGCACAGACTGCAACTACAGCAGTTAATACACACACACACACTATAGAGAAATACCTCAGTATTGAACCAGCATGCAAACAAATTGACCAGCATTTTCTCTCATCTGCACCTGAGAGTTCATGCTGGTGTCTATCTGCTGGGCCAGAGACTTTCTGTTGCAGAGGATGGTTGCCCCAAGATTTCTCCTGTCGTCGGCAGGTTATTTTTAAATTAAATTATGGATGTATCTGTTTCTCATTTGTGTGTTTCAAACCGAGGGGGCTTACAAGTGCAAGTGAAATAAATATGAAATCATTGTCAGGTTTGAACATATATTTGTTTTCTTTACCGTGTTGCTGATTGTATTTAGTATTGTTTCCACTATATTCTCAATGATTATACTTCACTTGTGAGTGAATATTTGCATGTTTTGTCTTCTTTAAGAATAATGAATCATAACGAAAAAAAACTATTTGGTGAAATAAGCATGTAACCCCGCCCATTATGGAAGTGGAATCAAGAAGGGAGAGCTGTGTGTGAGCAGGTCTTACCTCCCCCACATACTCCATGATGAAGGTGTTCTTCTTGATGTGCTGCAGCGTGCGTACCCCCCACCCCCGGCCGTTCTCCGTCTTAAAGATGCACAGGTCAACCTGGATGCCCTTCTGCACTACTCTGTTGGGACACTCAGAGCTGCAGCTGCATTGGGAGTTACACTCGTATATGGGCTGTCCCGGCCGGATCCGGACCAGGCCCTTGTCATTGTAGGCCATGCGGTGCAGCGAGGCCCCGGGGCAGCAGCCGTTTATTGGTTCCTCCAAACAGTTTTTACAGTCACAACCCACCGCCATCTCATCTAACACAATCCCTTGGCCTACTTTGTAGTTGTTGATGTAGGTGAAGTTCTTTGGAGGGCCCTCAAGGTCCACTTCGTTTGCAACAAAAATGCGGCCCGGGTGGTTGCGAGTCTGGTTCAGATGGGCCTCCCAGCGCTTCAGACTCTGACGGAGCTTGGCTTTTTGGACCAGGAAGGAGGAAATTTCCTTATCCAGTTTTTTTGGGGTGTTGCGTCTCTTGTGGCGCCTCAGCTGCTGATCCAGGTCCAGGTGGAACTGCTTGATCAGTTTGTGGCATTTAAGGTTCCTCTTGGGTTCCCAGCTGTTATCCGACTCCGGGAAGCCCTTCCACTTCAACAGGTAGAACTCCTCCTGCTGAAACACAAAGCACTTTTAAATAGGGGCAAAGATTTCTGCGAAGATGTCTGATGTACGCAGCCCAAAAACAGAATGCCAGGTATGTGCTTAGATGTCTCATAATAATTTGTGTGAACATAAAAATAATTTGTGTGTAAATATGTGATTTGTAAATGTAAAACACCATCCACAAATGCATTTAAAAGATTTGCAAACTCATAAATAAATGTGCAAATGTAAAACGGATCTGCAAATACGCATAATATTTTTACTACAAAAAAAAATATCTTTGAATATCCCTTTAACATTTACAACTTTCGATCACAGATTTGTGAAACTAGGCCGATTAATAAGATGTGAAGTGCTTTGTAACTTTGACCCGCTTGACTGAATACACAAAAAACAATGAAGAAAGTTGAACCAACAAACTAACACAAACTAACTGCATCACTATAACATGATGATGATGATGATGATGATGATGATGATGATAAAGAATGCATCAAACGATCCGCTGTTCATTAAAAAAAACAGCGCATTAAAGGTGGGGTAGATAATTTTGGAGAAACCAGCTCCAGTGTGCTAGCATTTGAAAATACACAGCCGGAAAAAATCTGCCCCTTCCTTACAGAGTCCCTCCTCCAACACACACGAACGCACACATGACCAATGAGGGCACGAGATAAGTCTGTGCACAGATGGAAGGCTGACAGGCAGGTAGGCCATCCAGTTATTTTAGCCGGGCTGGCTCAGATGATTGGTCGTGCTTGTTACAGCGCCACGGCTTCCACAGATGACATTTCTTTATGGATTTATTGTCAAAGCACTTAAGATATTCATTGCTATCGGGATGTTAAGAGCATTCCATGGAATATAACAACAAGTGTATCTCGAGCCGGTTTCTCAAACTTACCTACCCCACCTTTAAACAAACCATCATGCTCTTACTTTGAAAACCATGCGGAAATGTCGTCATCAGCAGGCCATCACGTGGTTTCCGAAAATAACCGAGTAACACGAGTAGATTTTAGCCGAGACCGGCGGAAAGTTTGTCACCAAACTCCGTGTGTGTAAAGAGACGATTCACAAGCAGAGATTTGAGATCCACAAGCACATTTTTGGTCGACAAATACAAAATGGATTCACAAATCCGTGATAGAAAGTTGTAAATGTTAACCTGTTAAACCCCGAGCCTGTTTTTCAGGTTTCAGGCTCGAAAATGACATTCCCAGAACAAATGTTCCCTTCTAAAAAGGGTTAAATTAATAATCTTTTTTCTCAAAGTAATGATAAACCTGTGAGTTGGATGTAGAAAAGTCAGATTCAATATAGATGTTTTTTATTTTAAAGAAAATTCAGATTGAACATGGTAAAAAACTGTAAATTGACCGTCCAAAATATATTTTGTACTTATAGTGAAAACTAACCTTGGATGATGGGTTAGTAGACTAAAAGCTTTAGGAATCCAAAGTACAACATATAATAAGTACCCTGTATCAAGATTGATGCAAAACAAGTGATATTTGACCTTTTTAGACAGATTTAGCAAAAAAAAACCTCTTCTGGGGCCATTTGGGTGGATTTCCCATATCTCTGGCCCCCCCTTGTTGGATTTTGACATGTGACATCTCTTTCTGACCGTTAGAGCCAATGGAATTGAGGGGAACTCCCACATAGTCCTTATTTGGTAATGTGTGTGTGTGAGACTGCCGCATAGCCTAGACCGGAAGCAGCAGCCACTCTGGTGGCTACCATTAGCAGCTAACATTTGCTCTCCGATTTTTACATAAAAATGGAATTATGGATTATAAATTAAATCATTTTTTGTATACAGAGACGTTAAAAACCTATGGATTAACCGATTCACTCGTTTTAATGCCATTTAATACGTCTTTTGATCGGATTGACAGCTACGGTGAGAAGATCTCCCTAGAAGCTCCGTAAAGGTACGTGTTGTGATGTCTGTGTTTGCTTCCCCTGTCGCGAGTTCGGATGACTCAGTGATGATACTATATACCTAAATAATCTGTGGAACCTCAGCTTTAATCGGATATCTTGTATGTGCAGCTACGATAAGTAATAAGGGTACTTTTATCTTGAGTTCTGTGCCAATGTCCGTTAGCATTTTTCGCTCAGGGGTCATTTAGATGCTTCTTATGAGACTTGTGTTTTGTTTTGGTAAAAATGGTTTGTATCGTCAGTTAGCTGAGATTATTTCCGTTAACCTGGTATAACACATTAATAGGTTCTTAAATATTAAGATCCCCTGAGACACAGTGTCGTGAAAAAAAAAAACAGGGTCCCCGTCGACGGGACCTTGGGGTTTAAGAGATATTCAAAGATCTTTTTTTTATTTGTAAAAATATTTTGCGCATTTGCAGATCCGTTTTACATTTGCACATTTATTTGTGAGTTTGCAAATCTTTTAAATGCATTTGTGGATGGTGTTTTACATTTACAAATCACATATAATCACAAATCACACAAATAATTATGAGACATATCTAAGCCCATAGCCAGGCTTCGTGTTTAATATATAGTTCCAATGAGTCAAACAATTTGCAGCCAATATTTAATGTTTCTGTTACGTTCTATGTTCCTGCATTATACACTGGTAGATAACTGGTAATAACAAGGTAACCTGGAATAACCAGCTGCAACATTTATATTATTTCATAAATGGCATCACTGTACACGCATTTTAGAGGACGGAAAAGGGTTTTTTGTTAGACATGTTTAAGACAAAAATTCTAAGGTTAAGGAGATCAGCAGGGAGGAAGTGAGACTTGATCAGACCCTTATTGAAACAGGGCCTTGTTCTGATGTGAATTTAATACAAATCTTAATAAACTATTTTGCATTTTCCTCGAGGACCCTTTGTGTGGAGAACCCCTGACGTTGATGAGATAGAGCTGTTAATATAACAAAGCCGTGTGTTATGATCAGAGGTGAAAGAAGTACTCGGATCTTGTTCTTAAGTAGAAGTACAAGAGTGTATGAATACTCTGTTACGAGTAAAGGTACTGCATTCAAAATGTTACTCAAGTAAAAGTAAAAAAGTATTAGCATCATATGTTTCTATACTCATTCTGCTGATTGGTCCATTTCAGAATAATATATATGATATGTTGTGATTTTGGTGTTGATTATATTTCACATCATTAATCCAAATCTGTAAAGTAACTAAATGTATTAAATAAATGCAGTGGGGTAAAAATACACGGTTTACCTCTGAATTAAAGTGGGGTAGAAGTACAAAGTAGCAAGAACTCAAGTAAAGTAGCTCAACATTTTACTTAAATACAGTACATGTACACACCAATGGTTATAGTACTCGTGGTTTACCTTAGTCTTCTTGTAGTCGCAGATGAATTCCACATCATAGACATTGGTGCTGCCTCGGTTCACCCCTAGCTGTTTGCAGTAGAGCTTCTCTCCGCGGCACAGAGCCTGCAGGTCCTCCCAGGACATCTTGCAGGACACACTGCAACCTGACACACACACGCACTTTAACTCAGTGTTAAAGGTCCCATGTCATTCTTTTCCGGTTATTACCCGTCCCCTTGTGTGTTATGAAGGGTTTTATGCATGTAAACGGTCTGCATAGTCAAAACCCTCAAAGTACACCCTGTATCGAGTACAACTAACACAGAAAATACCTCCCCAAAACACCTCGTTGGAGATACGTCATTGTCCATTGTTTACTTCCTGCGTATTGTGACGTAGGAATGGCCAGTAGCCGCGCCCAGAGCTATGACGCGATACTGTCATGCGTTACCTGGAACCAAATGGACCAATCCGTGGAGCCGTTACGTTACGTCCGCGGAGCCGTTACGTTAAGCTCCCGCTGATTGGTCCAAATTGACCAATCCACGGACTTCTTCACACACACACTGGCCGTTTCTCAATCGCAAGTACACCTGCTGCAGAGCAACTATTTCAAGTATACTACGTCATCGAGTGGGGAAGAATGCTGGGCATTTAACATGCATTTAAACAGTCCTTCGGCGCCACTCGATGACATAGTATACTTGAAATAGTTGCTCTGCAGCAGGTGTACTCGCGGTTGAGAAACGGCCACTCAGTGCAGGCAGCTATGCTGATTTCTCCTCCCTGGCTGCAGGCTGATAACAGACAGTTGGGATCGTGGCGAAATTCTCTCTGCAGACCCATTCTCACAGCGTTTATCAACCTTTTTCTTACTCAATATCAAGCCACACTTATTGTTTTTACTTCGGCTGTGAGTTTGTGTGTGCGCTCAGGATGAGTTTGGCTGTGTTTCGCTAAACAAGGAAACCACACCTCCACGGAGCTCAGCGCGATTCACAACGTCCCGACCAATCAGAGCAGTAGTGATGGGAATTCCAGCTCTTCTTGGTGAGCCGGATCATTTGGCTCGGCTCACCAAAAAGAACCGGCTCTTTCGGCTCCCAAACGGCTCTTCAGTTTACCACATATACCTTTTATAATTAAATCAAATGTAGCCCTGTTTTGACTAATGAATGATTTATATGTGTACACATATATCACTTAAATTATTCAATACATCCTTTGTACTGAAGTATTCAAAAGTAAAAATTACATGTTTAATATAAATGATTTGCTGTGGCCAAATGTTTTCATTGCATTTACAGACCCGTGTAACTCTCTGATACCACCCAATGAATGCACTGACTTGATGTAGAACCACGCTACACAAAGCAGATAGCAACACCTATAAAAACTTAAGCATAGACATTTTTTAAAAAGGGGCAACTGTATGGACATTTTCAAATTATATTTAAAGAAAAGGACCTGACAAAACAGCAGGGCTCTGTTGATTAATAACTATTAACTATAGAAAAAAAGACAGCAACAGCTGACATCAAATCTTTGCTGAGCCTAAGGATAATCATAAATAAATAACAGTGAAAATAAATATATTGCAATGCTCAAAACAGCAGCATCCAACCGTCTCTAATCATAAAAAACACAACACAAATAAATATATTGCAATGCTCAAAACAGCAGCATCAACAGTCATCATCATCATTCTGTCTTGTATTACTTAACAAAAACAAAAAGAAAAGACCGCTTGTTCGCGGGTGCGAGCCGGCTCCCGTCGTTCACTTAAAAGTTCGCGACCGACACATCAGAGCACACTGTGCTCACAGGGAGGGTGGGGGCTGGAGCTATTGGAGCTACAACGAGCCGTTAAAGGCAGAGAGTGAAATTCAGTGAATACACGTAGTTTACAGAGATGCTGTATGAGGAACCAATGTGAGTTTGGAAAATTGCACAATATAAATCTATTCTAGTAGACCTCAACAATGGAATTATGATCAGTGGAAATGGCCATGACATGGGACCTTTACGGCATGGAAGCTACACCAAACCCACTTAAAGTAAATCCATTAGAACTGGATCTGCTATGCGAGGGATCTGCAAATCAATATTACAAGACTACTAACAGTTCTTCATGCAAACGTTAGTCAACATATCTCAATGAAATCGAACGATCAATTTTACCGCCAAACACAGCCGTAGAGGAGATAATGAGATATTCAAAAGCGAGACAGCAACATTGTTTGGGATTCTGATAGTCGAATACATACCCTTCAGAGCAACATAAAATATGAGTCAAAAACAGATAAAGTTCCATTTAAACATTACCGTGGCGCTGCATGGCGCGTGAAACGTACCTAACAATACAACGGTTCCTCCGCTTATCCTGCAGCCTGCCCCTAAAAACAGAGCGCTACACTAACATAATAAGTAATACTTTCTACAACATAAAATATATTCCTATTGCTGATACAGTCAAAATTATTTCAAATTCACAAGCAGAATGTTGTCACAAAAGAGGCTGCCAGTGACGTTACTCCGGACAAATGACTTCCTAGTCACCATAAAGTGCCACCCACGCGCCCACAAACTCCATGACAACAAACATAGTGTATATTTAAGCTATTTTAAAAGTGTAACGCTCGACTTCACTAAATAAATACAATAAATAAGCATAACGGAATATCAAATCTTATGAGTTACCTTTCAAATATTCCGCCATGTTTTCCACACAGCCGCCAAAATGGAGATACAACATTGGTAGGAGGATCCTGCTGCAGGGAGACAGCAGCGGCTTATGATTGGATGAACGTCATCTATTTGTCCTCTCATTGGGTCAGGAGTGTCTGCCGGAAGACAATAGCTGTTTACGAAGCTAGTTTTCACGAAGAAGTTAGGAACGTATCTAGTTATAATAGCCTGCCTGCTGTTAGTTAGGAAGCAACTATTGTTGTGTTCTGGTACTGTATGTACAATCAATACTCCAGACTACGACGTGCTATATTCAACGTGTATTGGTATACCGGAGGCGTCTATCGTTTTTCCAACCCAGTTTAGATTTAACCACGCCCACTTCCGCATTACGCAAGCATCGACGTCGCTCTACGCGATAGCGTCACAAAGCAGAATACTGACGAAGTCCCTCCCTTTCCAAAGGATTTGTTGACTGAAAGTAAACGATTCTATAATCAAAGCCATATCAAAGAGTCCTGAGATTGTATCACTGGTGTTTTATCATCTATAAATAGCCTGTGAGTATCCTCAAATTTCGTTTTCAGGACAAACTAAATACGTTTTAAATTATCTTATCAGCTGGTGTAAGTGTAAGCAGAATATTGAATATAACCTTGACTATTACTGTGTATTACATTTATCTGAGAGCATTATTTAATGATACTATTTTATATATATATACACTTTTATTAATTCATTTATATACACACATATACTGTTTTTATATATGTGTGTATGTGTGTATATATAGCCTATACCGTATATACACACATTTATTCATTTATAAACATATATATATACATAAATACACACTTATATGTACTCACACATGTATTTATTCATTTATACACACAGATGTATTAATTCATTTATATAAATAAACACACACTAACGAAACAACACAATATAATTAAAACAGTTGCAATAATAATAATATAATATGGTATGATCAATTCTACCCTTTTGTTTTTGCTCCCATATTTCAATTAAAACATATTTGTCAAAATCAATATTGGTGGGGGCTGTTTTGCAAAGATAATCAATAACACCACCTGACAGTTGTTGCAGATTAAACAGCCTTACTTGTTACTTACACACATGTGTCTTAGGATGGTCCCAAAAAAGCCAAAGTCTGCACTGTAAAAAAAATATATATACATTTATTAGGCACTCTGAATAAGGGTTGACTGTGTAATAATCATGCCTTTTAATGTATATGTCTCACCAGGTAAAGGCTGGGACAGTGGGAGGGGTGAAGTAGGAGCAGGGGACTGCTGAATGCTGAGCTGACTTGGGACTGTCCCAGGATACAGTCCCAAGTTGACTGCATGATCCACTTACCTGTTTGCATCAACTGCAGGAGGTCAAGCATCAACTGCAGGTGGTCAGGCAGGGGTCATGTGATGTCCTTTAGGTTGGATCAACACCAGCCTCTGGAAAGATTATATATTATTATATAATGTGTGTGTGTGTGTGTCAGTGGCGAACCGTGTCTATCACAACTGGACCTTCTGTAGACACAGACACCCGCGGCATTATAATGTCCGTCTTTTCACTGAATTGTCGTCTTGAAAAGGGTACTCACAACAATTCCGCAACAACTTCATCTTCACCTGTTTTACTTGTCATTTCAACGTTAAAAACAATAAAACGGCATGAATTGCTTCGTCGCATTCATCAGATCAGAGGTGCCCAACCTTTTTTGAACCGAGAGCTACTTTTAAAGTTGCCAGTCTGCCGAGATCTACCAGTCCAAATAGAGAGGCGTAGCCATTACTGACAGCCTACTACCAGGTAAATACACACTTCTACCTGTATAAAACTGACCTTTGTATGATTGATACTCCATAAAATACTGCAGATCCTTTATCTTACCTCTTTCTAATCTACACACATACAAGTATTTAACTGAAGTTACACAACAGTGTTGTTGATACAGAGTTTGAGTTTATTCACACGTCACTACAGTGGGTAATGTTTTCAAGAAACATTGAACAGTGCTGCCACATATGACACAGGAAAAAAGAAAAGACTCTGAACCCTTTCTTTGCCATTTATATAAAAATAGTGTTGCTACAAAAGTATAAATTAGGCTTACTAATAAGACAACTCAGATCTGAAGCTACACAGGAATCTGCTGCCAAAGTGCAATAAAAAAGACAACATTAATAAAATCAAACCCTTTTTTTGTTGCATTTTAGTAGATTATAAAAAGAAATGCCTTTAAAATAGGATGCAAGCAACACTAGTTTCTTAACCTGAATTGATGATAGACTATAATCAATTTAAGTTTGCATTCTTATACCATTTTGTACAATAATTATAATGAATAAGTTCAAACAAACTAAAACTTACAGCTGATTAATAACGGTATCTAACTAGAGTTTTTATTATATCAAAAACCTGTTGAAATGCTGCTGTTATTTTTACTGTCCACCAAAAAGCGCGCCGGCAGCCTCCAGGAATGCTTCTTTCACAACTTCGCCGTCTTTGAAAGACTTCATGTGCATACATGCCAACCTTTCCAAATCCAAAAGAGGTAGGTTTGCGCGCGGCAAATGTGTACGCCCAAATTAGGTAATCAGAAGAAATGGAACCCTAGTAATTACAGGTATAAACAGGGGTGCACATAACTTTTTTGCCCTGGTTCTCAAAGGAGCACCTGGAGATGTTGCTTGGTGCTCATCCATAAAATGAAATAAATCGTAACTTTTGAGGGGGTCTTGACTTTATTTGCCTGACACACGGCACTGAACACACGTGCAGAGGTGAACACAGAACACACATGCAGAGGTGAACACTGAACACACATGCAGAGGTGAACACAGAACACACATGCAGAGGTGAACACTGAACACACATGCAGAGGTGAACACAAGACAACATTAGCACAACCAGTAATCCTACAAGCTGTCATCACTACCCTCCCGACTGTTCTCCTCACTGTCTTCCTCTCTGTCAGACATGGTAGCTGATGATGTAGGCCTACTACTTCCTCTCTGGTTGAGTCTGCGATTAGCTGCTTGCATCCACAAGTCAACAGCTGGTTTTGTGATCATCTTAGACAAGTGGATGTAATCAAATAAGTATGTGAACATAACCAATAACCTACCATAGCCAATAACAAATGAATGTAAATTATTTTATTTGTGTTGTTCATTCATATCTTATTTTACCTTAACATTTATTTATTTATGCATTTTTTTATCTCTCCAGTTTTAAAGGATATTTTTGGTTACTGTCCTATAGTATACATTGGAATGATTTCAAACCTGTTTATCCCAATAATTATAAAGGAGTGCCTTGGAAATATGTGTTTACATAAATTGTGACCAAACCGTTTGAACTTAGACTAAGAGTCCTTACCTCACTGAGCTGTAGTATCAGCATCTCAGTCTGACTGGAGAGGACTCTCCCTCCACATTATTGGAGACACATCTTCTTCTTATATCCGTTAGAGCAGCTAGCACCAGATTCTAATAACAACAGTGCCGGTACCGGTGCACCCTCCCTCTCTCCCTAGCTCACTCGCACTTTGGTTGTGCGCCAGATAAGCAAACATCCCCCATTTTAATCACTTACAGCGCCCATCGTACAGGGCAAATTAAACGTGTAACCGGGGTGAAAAGGGTGTTACATTTACTTAATTATGAATATTGTTACATCAAGGCCGAAAATTAGGATGAGCCCCAACGGTCAAAAATTTTTTTTGGCAGAACTGCCAGCGCAGCGCCTCCACAGATCTGGCGCCCTAGGCGAACATCTAAAATGCCAGTGCCACGGGCCGGCCCTGAGTTCATATGCAACTCGCAAATATCTTTTTCTCTTTCTCTCTTCTCTCTTCTCTCTTCTCTCTTCTCTCTTCTCTCTTCTCTCTTTTCCCTTCTCTCTCTCCCTCTCTCTCTCTCTCTCAATGTTGGTGCGCAAATGCGCCTTTTATCAAATGACCCGGTGCTCTTTTTTTGGCGGAGGTGCGCATGCGCACCTGCGCACCAGTTATGTGCAGCCCTGGGTATAAACCATGTATTGCATCATTTTATGCATTTTTCAGAAAAAGCGGTAGTTTGGTAAACAGTAACATCAACGACATGTTTGGTCTATTTTTCATTGCTGTTGCCGGCCACTATTGCTCATGTAAACCTACTACTGCTGCGCCCCCTGTAATCTCAGAGACACCCTGAGTCATTTTGTTCTGGAGCCGGGCCTGTACACGGCCATATACTAAACACACTACAGAGCCCATTCCGTGTCCTGTTAGTGTTTACTTCCTCTCTGCCTTCTTCTGGTGATTTATCTGACGTCCAGCGCTCCGTCTTTTAACCTCTTTTCCTTTCTCTTTCTTGATCCTCTTTAGCAACCTTCATTATAGTCCTTGACAGTGGTCTGTACTGCTGTATTAACAACGTGTCACATGTTAAGAATTTACAATCAGAATTGAGTATTCAACTAAGCCGTGTAATACAAGTTGTTAGTAGCCTTAAGGGCCTACATAGTTGTTATGCTATACCACATTGCCCTTCACTGGATGTATAATGAGCTGCACTAAACTACATTTTAGCATTTAAAATACCTAGCCATTCTTTTGCGGTTATTTTGGTGAAAGTAACTAAAAAGTAGTGTAACTCATTATATTTCAGAGACAATAATATGACTTTCAAAAGACAGTAATAAGTAATATGTAATATATTACATTTTGGAAGTAACTTGCCCAACACTGCTCCCAATTGAGTTTAAGGGAACAGAGACGAGGCATTTGAGTCCTGCAGGGTTTCCCCGTTAGTATCAGTGTCTCGAAAACACATGTTGGCGACTGAAAGACATCCAGTGTTTGGTCTTTTCCTGAAGCATCCTTCACCTACAGTGTCTCAACTGAAAGAGGACCACAAACACACACAAAATATGATACAATTTTGAGATTTGGGGATATTTATCTCCCAGTCTTTCAATTTTTCTGACATTTTCAACACCAAACATGTCGTTAATGTCTCTGTTTAGTGAACTACAGCAATCTGAAAGCCTGTACATTATTTATATCACACTTTATCAGTAGAGAAATGCAGGAAATGACTTTTTTAATGCAGTATTTTCTGATTTATGGCGCAACACAAAGATATTTCGCTCTGTGCAAACCTTTGACTCTAATATGTCAACAACATGAAACAGGAATATGAACCTAGCTTTATCCAATGTTCACACACGAGTTCTACATCCTGACACATCTACACTGTCTCAACTGAAAGAGGACCAGAAACACATTAAAAATATAATAAAATGTGGAGACTTTGGGATATTTGTCTCCCATTCTTTTACTTTTCTGGCATTTTACAGACCAGACATGTCGTTGATGTCACTGTTTACCAAACTACCGCTTTTTCTGAAAAATGCATAAAATGATGCAATATATGTTAAATACATTACTGTAATTACTGGTTCCATTTCTTCTGATTACCTAATTTGGGCGTGTAAATTTGCCGCGCGCAAACCTACCTCTTTTGGATTTGGAAAGGTAAAAGTAATATATTACTGTAACTCCGTTACTTTTGTAACGCGTTACACCCAACACTGTTTGGGAGTGATTACCCATCAGCCCCGGGGGTGCACGTTGTTTCTCTTTCAGAAACACAGAGGACTGTAGAGGTTTCTCAATACTCAAATTTCCCCTCCTCGACTCCTATCCTCGATTCCCCTCCTCGAGACTTGGTGCCGCCCACAGGAGATGCGAGCGGAGGACTGAGGAGGGGAACCGAGGAGAGAGGAGGGGAAGCAGCAGGCGGTTGCAGAAATGAGAACTCCTCTCCTCTGAGCGGTCATTTTAAAGAGACGTCCATTAATGATGACAGGAGGCACAGCAGCCCTCTGTCTGATGGACAGATGTGTTCACGACTTATATATTTACTTTGATTCAATCACAGTGCAGTATAATGAGACAATAACAGGCTACAGATGCGGACATATACACACACATATATTTATATAAATATATACAATTTCAGAATCAAACAAGTATGAGAGCACTCTCATAATAACGTAACACAATCAGAGACTGGATATATCCCACCCCCCCCTCTCTCTGGTCGCTGAAATGGGGAATTGAAATTACGGGCCAAAAGTTGTACAAGTATTAAAAGTAAGCATAGGACACCAAACCAACTGAGACCCGTCTGTCCGCCGCATCTACGCACTGTACAACACACACACCTACTGCTCCTAAAGCATAATCAGGCTACAGCCGTTGTGTATTTTATTATGTGAAGCACTAAATGGTCTTAGAAAAATATCGACTCTTTGTTTGTAGATATCTACTAAACTACAGCATACAAATACAGAAAGTAATGTAGGCCTGTTATACTGAGTGATATATATTTTACACACTGCTCTGCTTTCTGCACGGACCTCACAGCTGTTCTCACTGTAAACATCGCGTTGCGATGAAAGCAGTTACTAATATAATATCCAAGGGATGCATGCAGAGCTGTCATTGGCTGAGATAAGTCCGGCCGTGCGTCACGCCTCCACCGTTCCCGGAAATGCATCCGTGGAGGATGCATCAGTGTCTCCTCGGTTAGAGCTCCTCCAGAGAGCCTCCTCGACGGAGGGGAAATTTGAGTATTGAGAAACCTCTTGTTTGTATGATGGGATTACAGACACGCTGCAAACGGTGTCCGCCAAAAGTCGAGTCCAGTGTCTATGGAGTGTCGTTTTTATTTGCTATAGTTTGGGAAGATTGAAAATCGGTAGGGAAAGTCAGCTAAGTCAGTAGGCGGTAGAAACATGTCAAAAGCGGTAGAATACCGCCCAAATCGGTAGGGTTGGCAGGTATGCATGTGTTTCGCAAGAACGTGACTGACACGATAAGATGCTATGGTAGCAGCCTTGCTCTTGTTGTTGGGCCTGGTGAAAATGGACTGCTGTGCATTTAGCTGTCCTTTCAGGCCCCTCCCCTTTTGGGAGCGTAGGGCAGAATTAGGAGGGAATTCCGTCTCGTAGCGTTTGTGCACTGTTTTGAAATGCCGCTCCTAAATTACCCTTCTTCGATAAAGCCACGCTCGCATTGCAGATGAGACAGATGGACTTTGAATTGGAATAGATACAAAAATAATCATCCTCCCACTCGGAGTGAAAATTATATATTTTGGGCTTTTTTGCTTCTGCCATAATTGCGGTCTTGTGTGTGTGCGGACTGACACTCCTGTTGACACGGACAACGTCAGCGAAATAGTGCCCACTGCCCACCAGCCACGCCCCGTCACATGGGGTCACGCCAGCCAATCACAAAGCTTTGATGCGTTCAAGTGCATTATTCTGGCACAGGAAGATTATGTTATAGGACATTAACGATAAAACTGAATATTGTTGTTCTATTTTTAGACACATCTCACGATCGACTGGGAATCTCCCAGCGATTGACTGGTTGGGCACCCCTGATCTGGATCCTCTGTCTCGAGCCAGTTAACTAGCGGGCCTTCTAGAATACCCTGGAACCGAGGGGAACTCTGAAAGAATACGCCCATTGGCTACAAATCAATATATGATTGGTTGATCAAACTGTCAGTCCAAACGTACGCTCTCATTCAGTGCAACGGCCAGGGCATTCTATCAAGGATGTAGAATACCTTGGTTGAAGGATATTCTACCCAGAGACCCAGAACAAGATCGGATTGGTTGCTTTCTTTTCTAACACAAAACCACTGAAATGCGTAGTGCATGGTCCAAGGAGGACAAACAAATCAACGTAACACTGTAATATTACAGATCAACAACACGGATACGATTCTCATTTATTCATTTTATTACATTGTATTACATTATTTATATAATTAAATCGATTTTTTGTTTGTTTTATCTGAGTGTTTCAGGGTATTCTCTGAATACCTTGAAGGCCCTGACGGTTCGCCACTGTCCTATATGTCGATTGTCACCCATTTATCATAGGGTGACAACCAGCAACTCCTGAGGTAAGCTTTAACTGATTTAGTCCTTTGTTTTAGGTTAAACTACAGTAAAATCCTTAGAGACCTGGTAGTTAATATCAGCCCTCACACTAACGTGGGAACAATTTGTCCCGGGTTCCTCTGCTGACCTGGGCTGGGCTCCCCTGGTTCTGGCCTGCCTGGCTGCTGGCCCCTGGCCTTAGGGAAGGGGAATCCGTCCAGAGGGGCATGCTCGATCCTGCACAGCATGCCCCAACAGCTGTCGCTGCTGTAGCTGGGGTTGGAGGCGCTGACGAGGCCGCCCGACTTGTGAAGCATCGTGTGAACATTGTCTGTTTGAACAGCCTTTTCCAACTGTGTAACACTGATGGTTCCCTCCATGTCCTCCACCAAGCTCGGCTCCACCTTGCGGAATGTGTGGCGGGCATACGGGCCGATGCAGAACATCTCCACTATCACACAGTAGTGGTAGATCACAGAGGATGGACAGAGAACACAGGTTTAGAGGATGGGCGATCTCTCTCCTGAACTTCAGCTTTCAGACATAGGTTGGGAGAGGTGCTGGGACTTACACTGTGACCGGGTCAGGAAAGAGAAAGGGGGGGTGCAGGAGATGACCTCCAGAGCACCCATGGTCTCCAGGATGCCGCTCTGCAGGCCGCACAGCACCAACACCACGATGACGTAGATGAACTTGGCTCTCAGTCCGTAGCCATGTAGAGCACTGTTAGTGGCTTTGTAAAAGAGGAGGTGGCCGTAGAAGGACACGAAGGTAGAGACACATATGATACCGTTGACGTACACGTTGGGATTGACTAAGTCCACCTGCACAACAAGAAGATGGCTTTTATCCTTCACTTCTCTAGAGAATACCGTCAGCACATTCACAGCACCTGAGTTCAATTTGTCTTAGTTTGTTCAATATACACGCATGTCCAATATATCCTCATGCAATTCAAGTTTACATTTTTCTCTCAATTTGTTTACAATTGGCAAACAGTACCAGCTACCTCTCACATTCTTATATGGTCACTTAAAAAATAAATATACTTATTTTTACCATGGTGTACTTATCTATTTGTTTTTTACTCAATGTGTTTCTTATTATAAATAGCGTGTGCATACTTAGTTATTTTGGATTTGTAATATGTAAGTCTATTCTCTTCACTTTATCTGCAGTATACTTCTGCTGTTGTAATAATGTAAATGTCCCTGTTGCGGGACAAATAAAGGGATTCTGATTCTGAATACTGCAGCTTCAGTCATGTAAGGCCTCAGAATGCTTATTATTGTCGAGTGATTGGCATGTTTTGGTGATGTCCAGGAACCTCTTCATTTTTGGGATACTGAATATGGAATGTCCTTGCTCAAACATGAATAGAGGAATTCATATTGTAGACATGAATTGCCAACCTTAATTATCCTAAGATAAAATATGACCAGCTACTGAATAGACTTATATTGCATATCTCACTTGATTCAGTAGTATCATCTGGATGGAACATCTTAACACATGTCTAATATTTAAATTTGTATAATTGTTATGTTAAGAGCTGACAGTAAAATGCATAATTGAACATGTTTGTGGTAGCAAACATATGATCAAATAACACTATATACAGTGGGGCAAAAAAGTATTTAGTCAGCCACCAATTGTGCAAGTTCTCCCACTTAAAAAGATGAGAGAGGCCTGTAATTTTCATCCTAGGTACACTTCAACTATGAGAGACAGAATGGGGGAAACTAATCCAGGAAATCACATTGTAGGATTTTTAATGAATTCATTGGTAAATTCCTCGGTAAAATAAGTATTTGGTCACCTACAAACAAACAAGATTTCTGGCTCTCACAGACCTGTAACTTCTTCTTTAAGAGCCTCCTCTGTCCTCCACTCGTTAACTGTATTAATGGCACCTGTTTGAACTCGTTATCAGTATAAAAGACACCTGTCCACAACCTCAAACAGTCACACTCCAAACTCCACTATGGCCAAGACCAAAGAGCTGTCAAAGGACACCAGAAACAAAATGGTAGACCTGCACCAGGCTGGGAAGACTGAATCTGCAATAGGTAAGCAGCTTGGTGTGAAGAAATCAACTGTGGGAGCAATTATTAGAAAATGGAAGACATACAAGACCACTGATAATCTCCCTCGATCTGGGGCTCCACGTAAGATCTCACCCCGTGGGGTCAAAATGATCACAAGAACGGTGAGCAAAAATCCCAGAACCACACGGGGGACCTAGTCAATGACCTGCAGAGAGCTGGGACCAAAGTAACAAAGGCTACCATCAGTAACACACTACGCCGCCAGGGACTCAAATCCTGCAGTGCCAGACGTGTCCCCCTGCTTAAGCCCCAGTACATGTCCAGGCCTGTCTGAAGTTTGCTAGAGAGCATTTAGATGATCCAGAAGAGGATTGGGAGAATGTCATATGGTCAGATGAAACCAAAATAGAACTTTTTGGTAAAAACTCAACTAGACGTGTTTGGAGGAGAAAGAATGCTGAGTTGCATCCAAAGAACACCATACCTACTGTGAAACATGGGGGTGGAAACATCATGCTTTGGGGCTGTTTTTCTGCAAAGGGACCAGGACGACTGATCCGTCTGTATCGTGAGATTTTGAGTGACAACCTCCTTCCATCAGCAAGGGCATTGCAGATGAAACATGGCTGGGTCTTTCAGCATGACAATGATCCCAAACACACCGCCCGGGCAACGAAGGAGTGGCTTCGTTAGAAGCATTTCAAGGTCCTGGAGTGGCCTAGCCAGTCTCCAGATCTCAACCCCATAGGGAGTTGAAAGTCTGTGCTGCCCAGCGACAGCCCCAAAACATCACTGCTCTAGATCAGTGGTTCCCAAGCTGGAGGCCAAATATCATATTTAGACTTTTTTTTTTTTTTTTACATTTATTTTTTTTACATATAACTGTAAGGCAATACATGATTTTCACTAAAAGCCTTGTCTCTACATTACAATAACATATACAAAATAAGTGATTAATTAATTTTTAATAAAAATTCAAGTTAGTAGCTAATAAAGGCGTAAAAAGACAGAAATGTATAATTCTTTCTTTAATAGAAATGTTTCTTCTGCCCGTAAAGTGTCCAAACCGGGCTTGTCTGCATAAGCGCATTTTTAAAACATAGTCATTGTCCATGCCGGTTTCAGTTGGATTATTTGTCACAGTTGCTCCAATCAGATCGGTCTCCTCCAGTTTGTAGATTATTTACGACTTTTGAATCCACATAAACACATCGGCAAAATCCGGCTTACTTTGAGCATGTGTTTGAAACAGTTTAATCCCTTTGTGAATTGTTTCCACTTGCGCCGTCCTTTCATTTCTTCATACAGCGGGAAACCAAATGAATTAATCCTGAGTCCAATAACCATCAAAGTCACTCCAATAGTGCTCCTTAATTACGCTTTCATCCTCCTTTAACAACATACTTCAGATTCATCTAGTTTGTGACAGTAGTTGTAGCATTTTTTAGACTTTTAAACTTTAATTGCCGCTGTTGCGCCCCCCCGATCTAGCCCTTCGTACATCCAGGACATGGTTAAACTGTATACCCCAGCGCGTGCACTACGCTCTGCATCAGCCAAACGACTCGCTGCACCCTCGCTGCGAGGGGGACCCAAGTTCCCATCAGCAAAAACACGTGGGTTTGCTGTCCTGGCTCCAAGATGGTGGAATGAGCTCCCCATTGACATCAGGACAGCAGAAAGCTTACACACCTTCCGGCGCAGACTGAAAACTCATCTCTTTTGACTCCACCTCGAGCGATAGAATTATTAACAAAGCACTTATATACTGATAAAGGACTGGCTTATCTATAGCCAGTTGAGTAGCACTTGAAATGTTTGGCTCTATGAAACCTGATGTACTTATATGATTCTGTTTTCTTCAAGGTTGTGTCTTCCTGGCCGAATGTACTTATTGTAAGTCGCTTTGGATAAAAGCGTCAGCTAAATGCAATGTAATGTAATCTGCCCACTCAGATGGTACCACGATCTGCTCTTAAACTGTGTTTACCCAGAGCCTGTAAAGGAAGAGTGCTGGGGAAAATCTGACATCCTTCATTTATCAAATATAATATACGACCCGAGCACAGACTGTACTGACAGCGTTTGGTCCTGGGATCTCCTGCGACCCTTTCCCTGCACAGGTTGGTGTTAAAGCAGCCTTAATACTCAATGGGGGATTAAGCATGGATCAAAATTCAAACAATTGACTTACATCACCATAGTCATACTGTTCATCTGTCCACAGCACCAGAGTGACGAAGAACAAGATGCTGCGGACCACCGAGAGCTGCAGCACCGCCGGCATCATCCAGGCCCAGCTGCTGCTGCACAGAGAGACAGTCACTGTACTGCTGATCCAGGACCAGTCACTATACTGCTGATCCAGGACCAGTCACTGTACTGCAGATCCAGGACCAGTCACTGTACTGCTGATCCAGGACCATGAAAAAGTCTGTCTTGTAATAATGTCACACTCACTAGCCTGTCTGTCACATAGCAGCAACTGATTTCTACTTAAAACATTTGAAATGAAGTTTATTTAAATTAATGATGAACTGCTGGGTAGCTGATCCAGGACCAGTCACTGTACTGCTGATCTAGGACCAGTCACTGTACTGCAGATCCAGGACTAGTCACTATACTGCTGATCCAGGACCAACCACTATATTGCTGATCTAGGTCCAGCCATTGTACTGCAGATCCAGGACCAGGCACTGTACTGCAGATCCAGGACCAGGCACTGTACTGCTGATCTAGGACCAGTCACTGTACTGCTGATCCAGGACCAGTCACTGTACTGCTGATCCATATACTATACGAATCAAAGCAAATCAAGTTTTATTTATATAGTGTTAGAAATTAAAATCAATGTTTTGATGGCATAATGTACCTTAAATGTACCTTTAGTTTAAATGCTGTTTTATACTGAAAAACCAGAAGTTCTTGTGCACAACCAGTTATACTTTTATTCTGAAAATCCTTCACCTCCGGTTAACATTTAGCATGAGGCTAATATACCATTTCCTATAGAGGTGAATTTAGCAGCGATATGATGTTGCACACCGAAACCTACTGATTTCAACACTACAACTATAGACGTCGAGATATTATTATTGTTGGATATTAAATGAAGGTACAGTTTATTTGAGTACGTTATCGTTTACAAAATGTGGGTAGCATGTCACAACATTCGGAACGACCGGAAATCAAATTGCTGTGAAGGATTTCCTGTATTTTTTGGAGTATTGATTACAGCGTTTAGAATGTGTTAAATGAAAAGTCATGAAAGAGTTAAGGAGGAGAAAAGGCGTATCCTGTGATATGCGTAACAACGGATATTAAATACGCGGAGAGCCGGCCCCCAGGGAGGAGCCAGGAGAGGCTATATAAACAACGAAACCTGAGGGGTTCGGCCTCTTTTCTCTGCTAACGAGAGCCAGATGCACAGCTGTATTTCTATTGGAAAATATCCTGTTTGTGACTTTACCGCGCCTTTTTTATTAATTAAAGTACCAATTTGAAAACATCTCAGAGACTCCATTTAGTCTCCTTTTTAAGCTTCTCTTTCCTGGACGTGAGAATAACCATCACAGTTAACAATAGCACATTTAAAAGCGATTTTTGGTCGAGCCACAGTGCTGTACATGTAATTACTTTGTAGTAATGTGTTTTTATTTTCACAATAAAAGACAATAATTTACAACAGAAATATAGGTTTTCCCGGGTCGCCGAGGGTGCTGGCGTTGTTTGTTCACCGATCCTCCGCCCCAAATATTGTTCCTTAGTCCAGATCAGAACCTCTCCTGTCTGGCTCTGTACTTTTGAAACGTCAGTCATCAGCAAAAATAGCAGCATCTCTCTATCGAATCGACACAGATCTTTGTGTTGTTATCTCCTACCTGCTGGCTCTTTCCTGCTCACCGGTCCCTAGCCCGCTAGCTAGCTAGCATTATCGGACCTAGCAGGCTGCTACCTAGGTGCTCCTCGGCTCCCTGAAGTCTGCTGAGCTAACATTTCTGTCTCCACCCCAACTCCACCCTAACTCCGCGGCTCGTGTCGTGTGGGTCTTCCCATCCCGCTGCGATCAGCCGGCTTCCCCGCTGACATCGTCTCTCCCTGCCGCCTACAGCCGGTGGCTATCGAGCTAGCTAACAAGCTAGTAGGCTGGTCAACCGGCTCCCACTCTGCACCAGGCTGTCAGCCCCTCCTACGATTCTCCTCCGGAAACCACTGGAATTATTCTCCTGATATGCTGTGGATTATCATTCTCATTTTATCTGGACTCACACCGGCTCCTGGTCTCTGCTGTCCGGGTCCCCAGCATTAGCTAGCTCCGTGCTAGCGCCACTTCACCGGATCATGCCGCCGCTCTACTCCCTGTCAGATCTCCACTCCTTTAATAACCGCCTGCCTCCGGACTGCATGGACATCCTCGCAGATAATGAAATACTCCGCAAACGCCGTCCTCCACACAGAGGCTCTGGCCGTAAGTTTTTATTTCATTCCACGTCTCCACACTCCATCCCGTCCATTCTGTCCTGTCTACGCCCACACTACACCATCACAACAAACAACACGTGAATCTGACCAATCTCCTTCCACTCCCCCGGTCCACACAACCCCCCCCCCCATGCAACATCACCTCAGAGCAGCCCTGCTCAACACACGCTCCATCCACAATAAAAGCCACATTCTGAATGAATTCATTAAAGACAATAACCTGGACTTTCTGTATCTGACCGAAACATGGCAAAAAACCCTGGACTATTTTTCTTATCAAATCACCCCAGCAGGATTCACATACATTGACAAACCTCACCCACAAGGGCAGGGTGGTGGTATAGCTGCTATTATCAGAAAGGAAATAAAAGCTACCATAATCCCCATCCCTGATGTTTCTTCATTTGAACACCTGATCTTCAAACTCTCTGGTCCCACTCCCCTAGTCACAGCCATCATCTAACGTCCCCCAAAGCCAAACCCCTCCTTTCTCTCCGACCTCTCTGACATTCTCACCCAGCTTTCTGCCATATCCCCATCTGTTCTCCTCTTAGGTGATTGTAACATTCATGTTGACGACCCGACCTGCAAATATGCCTCTGAATTTAAGGAAACCCAGCTGCAACTTCTCTCAACACATCAACTTCCCAACACACAGCCGTGGTGACATCCTGAACTTGGTCTGCTCCACTGGTCTCACCATTCATCATCTGTCCAGCTTCAATCTCCACATCTCTGATCACCTGGCCATCATCATGGACATCAACATCCCCATCCCCGTCCAAAAGCAAAAACGCACAATAACCTACAGAAATCTCAAATCCATCTCACCTTCAGCAATCACTGCCTCCATTACCTGCAAGATGTCTGTCTCCCCCCGCCCCCCCCCCCCCCCCCCCCCCCCCACTTTCTGAAAACCCATCTGAACTTGTGGACTATTATAACAGCACCCTCTCCTTCTGTCTCAATCATAGACTGTATATATAAATGGACGTAGGGTCCGTGACGTCACCCATAGGATTCTGCAGAGTTACGGCCCGTCCACACAGCGGCGTGCGTTGAAGCTTCCAATGCTTCTGCCCATTCACTTTGAATGGGGTGACGTCACTTTTAGCCGAACTGCATTTTGGGAAGCGACGTGGAGCGTTGCTGGCGTAGCTGGTGTCAAAAGTTGAGTAATGTTCAACTTTTGACGCCTCGACGGAGGCGTCAGCCAATGAAATCCCGTTTATGCAAATCTGCCAGTACAAGCACTAGCCAATCAAACCGCGTGTATGCTGGGAGAGACTACGCAGGTCATTTCCTCATATTCAAAAAAATGGAGGGAAAATGCATTATAGCGGTAGTGAATCACCCGGTGCTGTATGATCAGTCTCTGTTGATCTACCGGGATACAAACCGGAGGAGCGAGGCATGGAGGGAGGTGGCAGAGACAGTGGGTGAATCTGGTAGGTTTTCGCCTGTTTGGGGATTTTATATCCAGTTTACTTCGTTTTAACATTGCTATTGCTTTGTATGTCGGGGGCAGGAGATTCATGTGATTGGTTGTTGGTCGCAAAAAATCCCCAAGCTTCAGATACGCCCACCTCCAAGCGTCAACGCACGCTGCTTTGTGGACGCTCCGTTACCATGAAGCCCTTAGTAGGCGGAGTCGGCCACTAAAGGCTCGACTGTGACGTCAGAGTTTAATCCCGCCTGCTCCAAATAAGGGCAAAGAGGCGTGAGGCGGAGCCGAGGCGGGACCTGCTGCCTCCGAACTGGAAGTAAACAGAGCTAGCTCAGGCTAAGAAGCTAACATGAAATACATGCATACCAAGTTACTGCTAACAGTGTAGTTCCCCTATATAAACGTTACATTCATAATCAAATGAGACAATCTGCAAGAGAATTAGCTATATTTTGTTATTCTTAATGCTTGTCATTCACACGTTGAGAAAAGACGGACTCCACCGCTCGGACCTAACGGAGCCGCAGTGGGCTAGCTCCGGGACGCCGGCTGGAGCTAGCCCCCTGCGGCTCCGTTAGCTCCGGCGGCCACCACTGGGATAATTGGGTCCCCTATTAACATTTGCTCCCGTTTAGCATAATGGGCGTCATAGCCATAGACTATAAAAGTCTTACCCAAGGCTGAATCATAAACTAAAATGTATATGTATGCATAAAGTGTTACGTCCTTAGCTGGCTAATAAGTAACAAGCTAAGCTACCAAGCACACAAACACCTGCGAACGGGGTTAACATGTATAATATTATCATTTTAGACTTCTTGGAAGTTCTGTTAGTACATTCAAGCGCACAGCACGACATTTTAATTGTCTGGTATTTGTAATAATATTCCCTAAAAAGGCACAATCACCATGAACACGGCTAAAGCTAAAGGGTCAAGTACAGTACTATCAATCAATCAATGTTTATTTATATAGCCCAATATCACAAATGTTACATTTGTCTCAGTGGACTTTACAGTTTGTACAAAATATCAGTATGACAATACTATGACTAACTAACGTTGTAGCCTCTATGCAGGGCCGCCCCTGGCCTACTTGGGGCCCCAAGCGACATTGTGAGATGAGGCCCCACCCCCCAACCGACAGGAGTGAAAACAAAGTAGGCTACTTTGCAAATATAATTCCTGTTTATTATTATTATCAACACAGTTACTTTTTTATACAGTGAGGTAAATGGTAAATGTGCATTTATGTCGTTCAGTGTGCGTTTACAGGTGAATACGTCTGCATTTCCTGCCAAATACTAGCCTCAAAAAGATTAAAATATAATTAATGCAAATAAACTACTTCTAATAATAATAATAATCATAATATAATATAAATACTGTATTATTTTATTATAATATAGTTGTAATATAGTCAAGATAAAACATGCTTATGACATGCTCAAAACCTGATATTTCTTAAATCTGTATTCAAATGTAGTTCCCTCTGTCAGCAATGTATCAACAACTACACACACATTTCTATCAGTATTTCTCTGTGTTGTGGTTGACATGATGATGACTGTTAGGAGTTAAGGGGAGAAGCTGAGCATCACCATGAAATGTGCAAATAGACATAAAAATGAATAAAAGGGGAAAAAATGCTCCATTTATTTTAGGCTGTAAACTTTAACTGTTATGTAAGCCAACTAGACAGACAGTGTATCACTCTTCCTCCTGTATACATTAGCAGATAAAAGGCATAACATACTTGAATGAATGGTAAATAACTGCATCTCCATTAGCCTATATGCTCTGCAGAGACTGCCTTCTTCATGTCGTGAATTGCAGCTGATGTTTTAATATGGCAATTGGCAA